CAGCACGCTTGACAGTGGACCACCATTCACGACTGGATAAACCACCCGATGCGAGCCTTCGACGGATGGATGCTGCATGGGTTTCTTCAGCTCGCTGAAGGCATGCTGAGGCAGTGGCTGTGGCTTGGGTATAAGCCAGTTGGAGTTGTGCATCTGCTGGATGCAGACGGAGTCGCTTCCATGCATTTCGCTTCCTCTTTGTGGCTTCGGTGCACTCTGGTGTCCACCACACTGGGTCGGTACTGTGCAGCTTGAGGCTCCTGGACGGGATGAACGTTGTCATGCCCTCAGAGATCTTGCCAGTCAGCCGCTCGCATGACAGGTCAATGTTGTCAGTCATGATAGAGGACCAGTCTGTTTGCCGGAAGAAGTGCTTTAAACGTGGCCAGTCAGCCAAATTATAGCGCCACACGCACCTCGAGGTTGGAGGCTCCCGGTGTGGTGAAGCACGCAGGAAGTCGGTAATCACACTGGCATGGTCAGATCGGCCGAGAGGTGGGTGCACAGTAGACACGACCGGGGTGTCAAAGTCGGAAAGGACCAGGTCCAGGGTGTTATTGCCCCTGGTTGGCTCAAGCACGTGTTGGGTGAGGTGATGAGCAGCACTGAGCTCCTCCATTGCTTCGCCAGCAGGTGTTGTCTTTGTACTACTTTGTCCGACTTATTAAAATGTGCGCTTTACTTCAAAACTCAAGCATATGTACAAAGGAGCACCTTTACTAAAAAATCAACCTAGAGACGGTAGATAGATAACTAGTGTATCATTTCTTGGCCTGACTTTCTAGTTTTCATCGCTGCTTGTGTCTCAGGGCGCATCTGCAAGTGCGTCAACCTGCAAAACGTCGACATTTTTTCATCTCTTCCGAGCTACGCTGCGCTTCCTTGATTTTTTCACTCCATAGGCACGATTTAGACAATCGGCTTCGCCTCCTCCTCGTGCAGTACGACTGCCAGAATGGTGGCTGTAGGTGTTTTCGCCTGACGCTCACCCGACACCTTCAAATGAGGCGAACAAGTACACCACCACGCATAAAAAAATCACTGCTCATCGACGTGTGCCGCGCGCGTACTGAGCCTGATCTGTGTCGATATGACTTGTCATACAGTCAGACAATGCGTGCTCTTCCCTGCCTGTTTCACGAATCCACTGCCCCCGGATCGGAGACTGGCAATCTTGTGACGGAGCTTTAGCATAACTTGATGTAGGGATGACGCATTGTGATCGCGGCTCCGAGGACTCCGCACCACTCACGCACCGTATCCGCAGAATACTTCACCCTTTCTGCTCTTCAGTTTTCCAGCCTGGTTGTCGCCTGAAAGTTGACCTCAGGGGCGGTTATTTATTTCGTTCAACTTCTCGGCGATATCTTCTGTGATCTTGTTTCGTCGCCCGCCACATCGTGAACCACTGCGAGAGAGATCAGCAAACTGGACGGACCGATGCTGGTGCTTTCTGCACGAGTTTCTGGATGACGCGTTTGCTGAAATTCTGCCAAGGAAAGAGCGACTGGCGCGATTTCAATCCGCCGGGAGGCACTCGAGAACGATCGCCCAGGAGTTTCTGGTACTCCGTGACAATTTCCCATCGCATTGGGGTGTTGATTTCAGCACCAGGCCTTCTCTGTGTTGCGCGAGAAGCACCAGGAGTCCTCTTACGACAAAATTTGGACGTAAAATGCTCGAGTCGACCAGGATCCTGAGGTGCTGCCTCCTTTGAAGTTGGAGCCATTTCTTCTTCAACATCACAAATCGACAACTGAAGGATAATGTTAGTTAGCTGGAAAGTTTTTTCCGTCCTGAGATTATTTGAATTTGTTTGGTTGACGTTCGAAGCGAAGCGCACATTTTAATAAGTCGGACCAAGTATGAAAGCCAGTCGGTGCTGTGGACGTTGAAGTCTCCAGCAAGGATCAACTGGGTACCATGACATCGGGCAGCATCAAGAGTGCGATCAAGGTACTCCTGGTGTCACCCTCCGGAGCACTACCAGGCCTGTACAGGGCTGCAACAACAGCTGTTCGACCACATCGCAGACGGACGGTGAACCATATGATCTCCTGGTTGTCACGGGGGACCATGCCTAGCTCAATAGCCGCTAGGTCGTTGCGCACCCAGACAGCGACACCACCTCCTTGAGCCGTCCTATCCAACCGCATTGGAGGGCCATAGCCAGGGATGGCAGTCTCGGCTTGTGACATTTTTTCCACCGTGAGCTTGGTTTCGGTAACGATAGCGACGTCGGGAGAGTGGAGTGCGAGAGCATGGCGGAAGTCACCAAATTTGGAGGCTATGCCAAAGGCGTTCGGTAGATACAGTCGGAGCGTGTTGGTCGTGCTCGTGCTGGTCATTCCGAGTTGATAGATGATCCCTTGATGGCACCAGAGGATTCATCAGCTGGGCGTGTCTCAGTACGGATATTTGGTAGGCCACTTAACAGATCCATTGCCTCATCATCACCCGCAGGTGATCGGGATGGTGGAGAAGTATAATCATACTTGTCGAAATTCCATAGACGTGAGTACAGAGGTCTAGGCCAGAACTCTCTCGAATTTACTAGTACTGCACTCTTAGCAACCAAAACAAGGCGTGCCGAGGAGGACCTTTCCTTTTTGAAAATTTTGCATTCGTAGATCTTGACGTTCACTTTGGCTTCACTTGCTCTGATGGTCACAAACTCAGCAATCTTTTCAGGTACTGCACTGCAGGGAAGATTGCCAACGAACATCACACACTTCCTTCCGACAGGCTTTCGTTCACAAACAAGTTCCCATACTCCACTGTCTTTGTTGTCCTCTTCGAAATTAGAAAGTAAATCACTCTGCGCTGGGATGGAGGCATTTTTCGAATTTCTGAGCTGCGATACGATTGTCCTCTCAGGAGAGGAACTGGAACTGTCGACAGCTACGGAGGTCTCGGAGGTCGTACGGTGGTCGCTGCCTGGAGTATCCGTATTTGTACCCGTTGATGTGGCAGCGTCACTAGGTCGGTTTTTTTCTATTTTTTTGGCCTTTCTTGTTCGTTGTTTTTTGGTCGACTTTTTCGGAAATTCCATCACCGTGATCAAATGCCGATGACCCAGCAGCTTTCAGAGACAGTTCTTCAACCTTCCGGGTGAGCAGATCAATCTTGGACATCAGACGTTTCTCTCGATCTGCTGCCTCGCGTCGCTCTCGCTGTATTTCAACTACAATTTCCGCCAGGCCGTTTCGGCAATCACTGCATTTGTTTGTAAGAACTGAGCTGGGCGAAGGACTCCCATATTCGAGGGGGTCAACCACTATACTGATACTACTTGCACTTGTCGCCATGGCCAGGGCAAAAAACTCCTGACATGGGACAACCTAAAACCGAAGACTTTCACAAAGTCTTTCCTGTTCTGGAAGCCCTTGGTCAGAACGGCTGCATCCGCACGTGACGAACTCAAGAATTCTTTCGATAGCGCGACCCGGCAAGTGAATCAGACGGCTGTCTCGCTCTTCTTATCCCAAAGAAGCCAGGGACAGGTCTGAAACCAAGCGCTCTTGAAAGCGCAGAACACAGGGTTCTTTGCGGCAAACGCGGGTTCCAGAAATGTAATTGTGAAGGAGTGTGCGGAAGGAATGTGCGGTTAAGGAGTGTGCGGAAGGAATGTGCGGTTAAGGAGTGTGCAGAAGGAATGTGCGGTTAATGAATGAAGGAAGAAAGTTCTGTTAAGGAGGCAGAACACAAATGAGACAAGGAAATAACTGTCTTCGGACTGTCACTGGTACACACCAGGAGGTTAGAACTGCTCTTCTCCACTCGTTCTGTGGTGAAGAAATCAGTGGGTCACAGCAGCTTTTATAGGTCGCGACAAGGAAGGAGATTCTGCATGTGTCAAGAAAAAGGGAAGAAGTCTGTCGTGTTCGTCCAAACAAAACGAGGGGAGGCATAGCAACAGTGTACTATCTATGTACTTGTAAATGTGTAATGACATCAGAATGAAATGGACCTTTGGAGGAGGATATTCAGAAAGTTGTGGATAAGAATGCAAATACAGTCAAAGGGAGAAGAATATGATTGAAGAAAATGAACTTCCCAGTTGACGGGTTCGACGCCCCACAAGCCGCTCGGATAGCTCTATTGTACACGCTTACTAGGCGATTGTGATCCTTCGCAGTAATCAGCGTGACGAATGAATAGATGCAGTACAGAATGTGAGGAAGAATGACAGGCAGGATGTACTAGTACTGGCGGCGTGGGAAGAGAGCAGGTGAAGGAATCTGCTATGGTAGGGAAGTGGCTTACATAGACATAAAAGAACACAGGACCCAGAGCAGTACCTTGCGGGACTCCACGCGACGCTGGGATGACCCTGGATGTAGCATGTGGCAGGTAGGCTCCGGCGGATTATGCTCGCGAAATCATTGAATTATGCGTTCATGGATTCTCGCATTATGCTCGCGAAATCCTCATATAATGCTTTGGCACGCAGGGATACATACTCACTTTGGTGTACTTATGGAGCCTCAAAGTTCGGAAAATTGTGCCTTTTCGTACTTGCAAGTGGCCATTAGTACAACAAAATACATGAATATCCCCATACCAAATGACCATGCATATTAGAGATCAACATGGAAAGAGAAAACATGACTCTTTCTATTCATCAGTTGATTTCTTTTGTAAAAATATTTTTCATTGCTAAATTAGTTTAAGTTACCTTTGAAAATTATCATGTTCAACTGTGTTCGTAATCGTCATACTCGTCCAACCGATGTCACCCTCACCCTGCGAAAAATCAGCTCATCTCTCCCGTAGCTCCACCTCTCCTTCCACCATGACCGAACATCACCTATACCTCGTTTATTTATTTATTACAACAATAACCATAGCCTGCACAGTCGATGGTCTCGATCCAGCGCGCTTCTCTGCACACCTTTTCGGAAAAGTTGCGAAGTAGTTTGTGAAAATGAAGAAAATTGCGATTTCTTGCAAAACAACGGAAAGTTGCGAAAAAAGTGGCCAGCATCTTTGGAAACGGG